CAACCCCTGGCTCACAAACCGCTTTATGGCATTTCCCAGTAGTGGACAACATCCAGTTCAAAGAAAAGAATACGGAAAACAACAAAGGAACGAAAAACACTTGAAAAAAGGAAAAAATCAAAAACCTGGTGTCCGAATTTGGGTTTACGTGCAATGTGCAGCTCTTGGTGCATGGCGAGCTCTCGCACCACAGAAATTGCATCATTCGTGGTTTTTACGCGTTTTACCTACGAGATGGGTTGAAGTTGACTGTATGTGCTCCCAATAACAAAAGTGATCGAGTAGAGCAGAATTATTCATGAGTACGAGCGCGGTCGCAAAAACTATATGCAGTCCCCATTAATGCCCGCCGTCCCACAAAGAACAACTGAGCAGCTCTCTGTCAGAGGGCAGCTAGCGAGTAGGGCGGTCCAAACTGAGCGGGGCGTTAGAACTAGAACTTTGATGATTGCAGCTCGCTCCTCGCTCACTGTAGTGTCGCTAGAGTGAGATAGTATCTAGCTTGGGGGCTGAACTATCTGCACAAGGAAGGACGACCTTGTACTACTTGAGCGTGGGGGCTGTCTTTAAGGATAAGTTGTTGGTCTGTCCACGAATCGGCAAAATGGTTTCAAAATTGTCATCATATCTGTAAAAGAACAGGGGTCCACAAAAAGACTCCGATACAAAATGCACCGCACACTACACTGCCAAACTTAATGGAATAACATTGTGTTTAGCTATAAAGTGATCATCAATAAAAAGCGTAACCTCAATCATTCAAAATTAGTAACGAGAAGCTAACAAGAGCAGATTTGGCTGATATTTCCTTTGCAAAAATAGTTCGACCTTCTGAACACGAATGTCACATCTTTTTGGCTGAAGCCGACTGGCGTCTCACAACAGCTGCCGGCGCCAAAAACCCCTAACCACCAAAATTGCTGAAAAGCTGTCCCCAAAAGTAGCTTGACCTCCTAAACATGACTATTACATCCGCTTGACTCGAATTTGCCCAGGCGCACACCACAAGCGCCTGCGCCAAAATACCCTAAATCAACTAGTTCGCTGATACCTTACCCCCAGGGGTCGCTTGGCCTCCTGAACACAAACATCTGCATGGGATGCCAATGGAATAAGGTATGGAATAGGGGGCACATAACAGTGCAATCTGCTGCGCTTGTTTGCACTTTTCTTGCGAGCAACTAGTCTCCTCCTCTGCAAAGGTTGTGCCTTACAGAAGCAAAGGACCATTGTCGCAGGTAACCAGGAAGAGTACTGTCTTGGCTGGCTGTACTTCTCTAACAAGAACGATTATTCAGTAGGGCGCAAGTGGCTCACAAAACGATTTAGGCGTGAGGTTAAGTGCATTGCGATAGTCGACTACGCCCTCACACCATATTCGAGGCGCTTTGCGTAAAAAAAGTGGTCGTAGCCGACTATGCCGACATATGCACTACGCTGCTGTAACAAAAGCGTGAACTATTTCAGGGTATAAAGCACTGCAGGTAGAAAATCATCAGCTAGAAATCATAAAATGGCACCATTCAACTAATACTACCCCAAAAAGTCAAAAAAATTTTCTTGGTGGGACTTCGCCCACAGAGGTAGTTCGGTGTCCTGATCATGAACATAGCACTCGTTTGAGCGCTGGCGCCAGTGGTGGCGCCATCACCTTTCCCACCAAATGTAAATTTGCAAGTCGGGTTATTGGATGTTCTGCCACAAATGCCGAATTAGTTTTCAGCCCTGACGCCATATGGCACCATTAAGCGCTGTTTTGGCGCCACACCCTTTTTTATCAAAATTGATTAAACCTGCATGGGGTTGTTTGATGCCTTGATCCCGAATATGACATTTAATTTTCTTCGACATCAGCGCCATCTAGCGCTTTTCCAAGGCTGAGCCCTGGAGGTAGAGTGATTTCCTTTAGGTCAGGCCAGCCCTACCAGAGTGCAGATAATCCCAGCGTCTTCCATCAGCGCCAGCGCCAAGAAGGAATGAGGTATTTGTAATCAAGATTAACTAACCTCCGTATGCAAGTTTTCAGCGGTTTTCAGCGGACCTAGAGCATTTTGGCGCCGGCGCCTGGCGCGGGCGTCAAACGGTTTTAGACCAAGTTGATGTGATATTCGTGTTCAGGAGGCCGAATTACCTCGAAAACCCAACTTTCAGCCAGATCTGCCCCCGCTGAAAAAAGTTGATTAAGATCCGGCTTGTTTTCGGAAAATTGAGGTTTCTTTTCAAATAAAGCGCGCCGAAAGCGGTGTGAGTCCGGTGCCGACCATCGCAGTGCATTCAAACTCACGCCCAAATTGTTCTGTGAGCCACTTGCGCCCTACTGAACAATCGTTATTATTACTTCTCTATCTACCCGAGTACTTCGCTTGGCCTGAAACAGACAGGAGTTGGCGCTACACGCTCCGGAGCCAAAGCAAGCATGTGCTGTCGTTGCTTGTAATGCGGACGGTCAACGATTTCGGGCCAAGCGGATGTGATAGTCGTGTCAAGGAGGCCAAACTACCCTCGGAAACGAGTCTTTAACCAAATGTACCCAAGGAGAGAAAAGTCTGTAAAAAATTGGCTCGCTTTTGGAAGAATGGGGCAGTAAAGGGTGAATGGTGTCTACTATTTTCGTTTTGTATAGTTGTTTCTGTTTTTTTTCAAACAATGAGTATCTAAAATACTGTCTAAACCGGCTTGTTTGGCTCGTTCGTTCGGGTTTAGCAAATATTACAGGGGTTGCAGGAACTACTTTATTGTATATCAAATAACTACAATACTACAAAGAAGAACTACAATTATCGTTCGCCGTGCATCCTCGATCGTGTCCGTTCGTTTGAGGCCGGGAGAGAGATATTGTTCGAACTTACTCGGGGGGAGTTACGACCCCGACTCCTCGACGGAACGCCTCCTTGTGAGCCGCTCCCAGGCGCAGCTGTGACTCCCCGGTCCCGCCTCCTCACAGTTCTGCTACATTACGGTGTACATCGTGATGACGTCACGACACTCCGGGCCAACAGATTAATTGACTTGTTCGGAGGATGCGAGTGACAAGAGGCAATAATTACAAAAAAACTACAGAACAAATCAATCAATGACTACGAACATTTCCTTTCTGCATCTTTCGTGGCGAGCGAATAGCTTGCGCAATCCGAGCTGAGCATCGAGTGGCGCCGTTGTAGATGGCGTCGATGAGCAAGTGGTGTCGAGAACGAACGTGGAGGGGTTGTATTTAGGTGAAAAATGTAAGTCATTTTTTTTGAACAGCGAGTTTGACGTTAATAGTGTTCGTTTGTTTGAGATCTGTGTGGCTGTGATGTTTGTTTGGTTGATGCACAACTGAAGAAGGTTTCTATTTCATTTTAATGATAACGTGGGTTATCATATTAGACGAGATTATGACAAAAGGTAGCACCGTAGAGTAAAAGGCACCGCTGAATATTGCAAGAGTAGGGAATGTTGTTCGGTCGAATTGTGCGAATTGTTTGTTTGCTCGTCAAGAGCCGTCAAATCACGAACTGGAATGGACACATGACGGAGTGGTGCTGGCTCATATCGCTGACTCGACCACACTGTCTGCAATAGAAGCACACCGAACGAGGTTGGCACGCTGATGACATGTGGGTGGCTGGTCCAAGGCATCGTTCGCAACGATTTAGCTCAGCGAAGCGACGTCGACGAGCTGTTAGGGAGGGAAAACGAGCACACGTTGAAGACCAATGTGGCCCGTTACAGAACACACAAGTCGAAGGTGGAAGCGACGAGTGTATTGGCGTCCCTGCGCCTCCGGGCATTGGAACAGCAAGAACGGCAGGAGCCTTTTGAGGCGAGATGGTTGGGTCCACCTGTAGTGGGCCTGTGTTTGCAACGAGAGCTTGCATTGGTTGAGCCGTTGTTGCCGTAACCGTCGCAGTGGTGGCGATATACGCGTACTGCGGATTGTTCGTTTGACTCGATTGTGGTGTTTCGTTCGGATTGAAGTTCGTTTGAGAAGGTCTCCCCGATGGATCGCGATCCGAGTGTCCAACCACGCAATCCTCCACGCGTTCCGCGAGGAAGTCAACGGCACCCTTTCTTTTTTTTGGGTGCAGCATGGTACTGCCTCTTTTCGGGGTATGTGCGTTTGCGTTCCTCCTTAAATGTAAGAGTGTGAGCATTTTTAAAGATCGTTCGTTTGCAAATTTGAAATGCGTTTGAAGAACTCACTCCGTGGAGGCGAATCTCCTTACGGAGCTCGTGCATCTCGTTGCGAAGAGCCACGAGGGCGAATTCCATTGTCCGCATTCCAGGGCAGACAACTTGAGGTGGAGAGCATATGTGGGCTGGGATAGGAACCGTTGCCGTTGCCGTCTTAGTGATGGTGCCAGTGGTGCTTGTTGTGCTACTGGTGTAGAAACGGCTTGACTCGCAGGGGACTGCTCCATCGGTTCTTGCTCTTTCTCGTCTTTTGTTGATTTGTCTTCGTTTTGTGTGCTTTTGTCGTCCGACATGGTAGTGAAAGTGTGTTTGGTAACGTGAACTCATTGTATCAAGAGGAAAAAAACGAGACGTTTGCGAACGAAATGAATTAAATCTTTTCCAAAAATTGTAAAGAGAGCGAAGAGCTAGAAATGGTATGGTGACTAAGAGACGTATCGTGCGTTGAATGATGTTGATGAGGAGGAGCGGTATTCGAATCGGGGTGGTGAGAAAAGATGTTATCTCTATCAACAAGCTATGTCTACGACTGCGTCGGACATGGTTCGAGCTTGAACGCGTAAAGTTCAAGAGATTGATCGTCGAAATAAGCAGAAAGAAAAGAGCTAAAAGTGCACATACGGAGAAGAGGAAATATTGCTGTATTATGGCCCAGAAATTTTGAAGGTCCGGTAGTTCGAGTTGGAAGTAACTCGTGGGATTGTTTGAGGTGTTATATGCAACAGCAAAGAGTCTTTCGATTGGCACTCTTCCATTTATGAAATGTAGCTGACCGGTAATGGAAAAGATAATGTTGATTTCCACACTGGGCTTTACAAGTTTCGTCAAAGTAGGCTTTGTTCGAATAGAAACGTATTTCGTTGTGATATCCTTTTGAGGAACAGAGTATTGTGAACGATTGCGTTTGACACTGAAGTTCTGCTATGGCTTGTGATGTTGGATGTGCATGTCACATGAGTGACTGCACCTTTCATGCATTTGTAGCAGCCCTCAATATTTGTGCTGGGGATGGTGCACGTGAATTCATCAATGTTGAGTTTTACGTGCGTGATGCTGGAATTTATCCATATTGCAAGCTCTGAGGAGACCGGTGAAGTTCTCATCGTAACGATGGAGTTTCTCCCTTCTCTACGAATTTGAGCGTCTGGGAGCTGAATTGGAAGAATTCGGTCTAGAGTTATTATCTGCGAAATATTGTTGTTCGAACAGTAACAATTCATGCTATCTTCTGCGGGGTTGCACTTGCACGTGTCTTGAATCGAGCAGTTTTGGTTTAGCGGAACAGCACTGTTGTGTGTATAGTCATTGATGCATGCGTAGCTGAAGCTATAAGGTTGTGGCAACCTGCTGTGAATTGGTCCTTCTCTATGAAAGAGTCTGGTAAAAGTGACATGTGTGAGGTTTCGATTGACGTTAGTTGGAGAGTAGTGCCATGCAATTGCTTTTTCACATTGCGTTTGAGTTCAGTGTCGTATGATTTGTGTCGGTCGAGCCATGTTGTTTGTTCGAATGTTAGAAGTGCTTTCTCTGACCAAGTAGGGCAGTGAAAAACTTCAAATGTTTCGCTATCGGTTGGGACGTGGTATACTCTATAGAATAGGCATCAAGAAGATGGGAAACCACATGTGCATCCTATACCCCCGCACGACTCCGTACAGTACGTTATGCCCACGTATTTGTTCGCGATGTATAGTTCGTCTACGAGCGAATCTGGGTTGACTTGTGCGCACTTGGATCCTGAACAGGAGCCCATGTGTGGGCAACGTTTGCTGTATTGCGCGCGGGTCTCTGGATTCCTAGTAAAGTAGAAGTCTCTATATTGCAACGTTTGATGACCTCGTGAAGTGTGATCTTGATTTCCGAAATCGTCTTTGTCACGCTTGATGTGAAGGCATGCTTGGGGCTGCATAGAAGGTTACGTAAAACTAAAACTTTTGGTGGGGGTCCTGCCACGATAGGCCAGAGCGCAGAGCAATAAGGGACCGCTAGAGCTAAGGCATCGTGAGGTAGAAAAACATTATGCGAGCCAGGAGATGAGCTTTTTCGAAATGAGGGGACACCGGGGAGGATGAGCCACTTAGTATACGCGAAAAATTGGAATGTGAAAGGTCAGATTGGCCATGAATCACCATTCAGGCAAGAGGGCGCAGAGAAAAAGACAAAGTTGGCGCCATTAAAGGAATTGAGTTTTAATTGTCTGTAAGTCCATGACGAGCGTAGAAGGTTTCCACCGGCCTAATGACTGGGTGTTCACTTCCACTAAGGGGATGTGATCGTCTTCACCAGTATGACATGAAGGGGTGAAGGTGTGGAAGCAGAAAGAGAAAAATCGTTTCAATGGGTTACAGGCCCTACTTAATTTTTTGCAGACTAGTCTTTTGACTTTATTGACACAAAGAATCAATATTGTCACTGTAATGACAACAGTGTAGATTCCAACCGCAGCCACTGATGGCTGTGCGAGGCCAGCAGTGGGGGTTCGACAACATACTGGAACAAAAATTGCATTTTATCTGTTCGCAATAGGGACTTGGTGGGCAAAGGAATTGGAAGGCATTGGTGTTGTTTGATTGTTTCACCTTAAGTAGGACTTTATGCCTGTATAATGTGATTTCCGGTGGAAACTGTATCGTCAAGTTCGCTTGAGGATTGTATATTTCCAGCAGTGGTGTCGCCGCAAATCTGTAGGCTGTTTATTTGTTCCAGTCCGAATATGTTCACTCCGCCGCGAACGCATTCGGTAAGGAACGGGCGGACAGTTGATGCGGCGCGTGTGCGTGAGCGAAAATCATAAAAATGAAGAAAACCCATTTATACCAACGAACGTTAAATGAATTTGCAATTGAAGGGTGTCTTTGAATGCTGTAAGTGTAGTGGATGTTCTGTTTTGCTTTTCGTGGTAAAATTTCTCTTTTCCTCGCACTGCTCGTGGTTTCTTCCTCTTCGTTTGCAACATTTGCGTCAACATCGTGTGGTTGCTCTTCGTTCGATTCGTCATCGAGTTCCAGCGGAACTAGCATATTGACTGATCGCTCGCTGTATGTTGTCTCTGCGAGCCGTGCGCAGTCTCACTTCCCGTATCTCGCCGTCTGCGTCTTTTATTACGCTGTCCACTATCGCCATCGGCCATGATCCTCGATCGCGGTTTTGCTCCATCATGAGAACTACTTCGCCCATTCGAGGGACCTTCCTTGTAAAACTTTTTTGGCGAATCCTAGCCTGATGATAATTGCGAAGTTCGAGAAGATAGTGGTCCTTCCATAGTGCCCATAGTTTATCTAAATGTTTCGTTATTCGTTCGAGGTTCGAAAGTGGGTGCGTGTACTTAGATACCCGGTGGGCGTGGCCAAAATAGAGCGAGGGCTTGACGTGGACGGATATAATTAGGCTTCAGCGCTTCTTCCTGAGCTTGGAGACGATAATTTCCTTCTTATTAAACAGCTGTATGTTTCTACTGTTGAACTAAGAAGTTCCGAGAGGAAGAATTAACTTAGATTGGAATTTATGCTTTTTGCAAAGGTATACATTAGGCAGAGGCGAAAAAGTGGTTATCAGGTCTTACGTATGATCATGAAATCAACATTAAGCCCACCATGAAGACAATAGGAACGTTTACCTTGTAAACGGTGCTCCCATCTAACATCTGTTGCAGCACAAATTTGGGAAACACTGGTCCATTTCGAAGCCTTGCCCCTGTGGCCACGCCCACCGTCGGTATCTAACAAGGGAAGGATACCAACTCGTCCTGGCCATTCAGAATGAGATGTATACTCCTAGAAGCGTCTTCGGACGCTGATATCAAATCTGGCTTCCAAATCTGCTAAACGATTCGGGTGAGGAGTTACGGACCTTTTTTGCCACTTTGCTTAACCATTGCGGTGCGCCCCCTGCTTATGCTTCGCGCTTGTAAACCCTTCGTGACCCAACCGCATCGTGGCTCGGTGGCGCAGTGGGTAAGTGGCTGGACTCACAGTCGTGCGATGGGAGTTCGAGTCTTTGATTGCGTTTTGTAGCTTTGCTTTTTCTTGGAACGTGCGCTCAACACTTGGGAAGTAGTTTTGCAATACTGTACGACCACCAAGCCCTCCCTGCTGCTTATTAGACCCTATGTCTGAATTTTGAAGGGGTTTCATTTCGACTTCAGTGAAAGCATTCATTTTCATAGCGTTGGTATGGCAGCTTTATTTAACTCATATATTTTGTAATTAAATGCGACTTTTTTTTCGCACTCGAACGGTAGAAGGCAATGGCCTTCATTCACTTAAACCACACGCATAGTTGATATGGACTTGTATAAAAGTGAGCCCATAAGTGGGCAATGGGTACAAGCGAACTACCTTCTCTATCGGGACCTTTACATCCCCAAAGTGACGTAGCTGTTCTACTAGCTCCTAGGGAACTTTCTTCATCGCCATCACACGTGATCAGAGAGGATCCGTATTGTCGCCCTCCACGAGCTATCTTCCTTGCAGTCAATATACAGTTGTCGTACAGTGTGTCGACAACCTTGTAATTGACATTGACATCATTCGTACCCTGAAAACTCAAAACACCTTTTTCGCTGAAACGTTGCCTATAGGTGTAATTCGATGCCCAGATCACGAATATCACATTCGTTTTGAGCGCTGGAGTCATTTGGCGCCATTCTGCGCCAAGTTGGCGCCCACCTTTTTTTTCACCAAAGTCGATGAAAACTTGCACCATGGGGGGTTAATTGAGGTCCTGATTACGGAACCAGCATTCGCGCTTAGGCGCTGGTGCGATTTGGCGCCAATTATGCGCAAATTTGGCGCCATATTTGGCGCATCATGGCACCAGATCAAGGCCAACGCTGGAAACCTGTGGGATATTCTGTTAATCAGGACCTCAATTAACCCCCATATGCAAGTTGTTCATCAACTTTGGAAGAAAAAAGTGGTGGCGCATTGAAATTGGTGCATAATGGCGCCAAAATGACGCAGCACTCGAAACGAGGGTTAAAACGTGATCACGGCATAGAACTGCATCTGTAGACAACGCTTTCAGCGATAAAATTTTTTTGAGCTTTCTGGGGTGAGTGTGTTCAACAGTGCCTAATATTACTTTAGTTATGGTAGGGCCGGTCGCAGAGGTGTTGGCTGATAGATGTGGTGGGGTGATTAGAGCTACCGAACATGTTTGAAACTTTCGTTGCCCACACGTCATTTTATAGGATGGTGAAATTTCGCAGATCAGTACTTCAGGCAGATATGCATGTGATTTTGGTCCCTTGCAATGAACGAGTTAGGTAGAAGTGTCATTTTTCGCGAAAATCGTTCGCGGGGGCTCAATAAAGAGCAGGGAGTTGTCTTGGTGGTCGGACAGGTATGCAAACTACTTCCCATGTGTTGAGGCGCACGTTTCAAGAAATGCAAAACTACGAAACGCATCAAGGACTCGAACCCCCATCGCACGACTGTGAGTCCATCAACTTACCTACTGCGCACCGAGCCACGATGGCAGTTGGGTCACGAAGGGTTTACAACGCGCGCAGCATAAGCAGGGGGGCGCACCGCAATGATTAAGCACAGTAGCCCAAAAAGGTCCGTAACTCCTCACTCAGAATCGTTTAGCAGATTGGAAGCCAGATTTGATATCAGCGTCCGAAGACCGCTTTCCGGAGTATACAGTCTCATTTCTGAATGGCAGGACGAGTTGGTATCCTTCCTTGTAAGTCACGTTGCCTTCGAAAGTGCTTTGTTTTCGATGTGATTGTAGGCGAGCTATGCAAAGCGGAACATAGGGCTAGTTGTCATTACACCACTTCCCGCTACCGTATCTTCACGCCCTAGTAATAATCATTTTCTAGTGTCCCCGTCGACACGTCAGGTGCTAACGTATGGCCGCGTTCATACATGATGCAGAAAGCAGAACACGGAATGTGCAGAACTGCGAATTGGGAGAACCGCGGACTTGCAGAAAAAAGAAAATATGTCTATCGATTTCAAAAACCGGTGGAATATGCAAAAGTGGCGGAATTTGCAGAAATGCCGATGGACGATCGATCCTATCATTTCTTTTTGCCATCATTTCTGCATTTCTGCAAATTCCGCGGAATTTGCAAAAATGCACTTTTCAAAACGATACGTATGCATTTCCTTTCGCAATTTCCGTCATTTCCACAACGTCGTCATGTATGAACGTGGCCTGTTTGGGACTTCGCCTAAACCTACACCCGGAAACAGCCGGACGAGTTTAACGGGCGCAAGTCCGTCCACCGTTGTGGGACCACGCGTCCCTTGAATTAGGATACTTCAATAAGAGTGCGTTTTTTGTGAGATTACCGCTATTGTCGTAATCATACAGGGGGGGCCAAAAAAAAGTCATTTTGCGTCCATGACTTTGAAGGCGCTATAAGCTACACTTTGTTAAATTTTTTATCGGACATTTTTAATACCATATCAAAGAGCGCATTAAATACTATAATGATACTCCGCACAGCCTTCTGGAGGAGCGCATATCGAGAGATTCGGGCCGCGCGAAAGTGAGTGAGTACCGGAGTTGAGGAGCGAGATCGTTGATTTCTCCGCACTGTTAGACCACCCTGTTGAGCTCCGCCCGGACTAGGTAATTGAGGTGGTTCAGGTCAGGGGACATACTTCAATATTACATCTTCATCAGGTACGAAACGCCCTTCCATTCGGAGTAGGCGGGAGTTTTTCCAAAACCCTTCAATTCCATGTGGTGGCACCCAAACCTGTAGCAGTACACGGTCTCCAAGAAGAGTACGAGCGACAAATGTGGGGAGGATATTCTTCTCGAGTTGCTTGATGTAACGCCAGCGCTCACCTTCAGTCGGGGTCTACAAAGAAAAATATCGGTCTTTCCATTCCAGGTACGGCCGGTCCACACCATCAAACCACGCGCCTTGGTGATGGGGTGAAGATGATG